GATGTAGCATTTTCGAAAATTTGAGTACTTTTCGCGTAATTTTGCGTGAAAATACGGACAAGAAAGTGCGTGCTGTTTTCACACCATTAGTTTGAGTTGTGCCAGTGTTGCAGCCCACAGAGGAAATATTGAGTTTGTTGATTATTTCTAGGCTTGAAGTTCAAACTGATGCTTCTGCGAGTTTCATTTTAGGCAGCACTAGCTAATGATAAGCCTGCTTAGATGACCTGAAAATGATTGTTCACGAATTAATATGTAGGTTTTCTCCCCGTCAGATGTAATTGCTCCCCATGAAGTTTGCCTCAAATAAAAATATTTCGGGAAACTGGGTATTTAATGAGTTTCCGTTATTATTGCATAGGGCTAATCCTGTGAGCTGACCTGGCGAACTTTATGCTTCCGCTAGGAATGTATTTTGAGAGGGGCTGTTTTTGCATAACACGCTACACGATTCTCTGTGGAACATCCACCTCACAACATAGACCTCAAGTACCCCGCGCGAGTTCTCGCTGGTGAATGTGTCTTTAGCCTTGGTATCCTATTCCGTAGGCCGTGGATGAAAACGCATGACACTCGCCTGAAGCCTTGCGATATTACGTTATTAATTATTTCTGATCGAAATTACCGGCGGGTCGGGAATATTTATGCTTGTCTGACTGTTTCTCTTACAGCTCGCAGCTACGTACATTAAATGCATGTCTTTCTTTTTCAATTGGTCAGTGTGCGCCAGCGGCAGGCTCAAATGTCTGTGTATGAAGCGGAAGTTTTTTTTTCAGTTTTTTTTACCCTTTTGCACAAACACTACATTAGTAAACTATTTCGTTAATCGTCATGCGGGGCATGTGCCTTTTTTGAGTACTGAAAATATTGACCAATGCGGCCACAACTGGCGAAAACATTAGTTCAAATTGCGAGGTCAGAAATAATGAACTGATATTCTAATGACTAAACAACATTCCATTAGCACGTGTCTTATTATTTAGGAAAGAAACTGGAGGGGACCCTCATTTACCGTTTGTGACTCTCTAAAGCTCGGGACATTAGTTTACACTGACGATATGTAAAAAAATATTCGAGTATTCTAAAAATTTCGTTAATTCCCATTAGGCTTGGCGCGTATTATGCGTATAATGCGTTCATTGTACAGAGATAGGACTCAGGGCATCAACTGATGTCTCTTCAGTCCCTCTGACCGGGACGTCCTAGTTCGAGCCCCAACGGTGGCAGGATTTTCGACACTGCTTGTTAGCTAGGTCGAATTCCGTTCGCTGTCTGGAGGAGAATTCTAGAGGCCGGCTGCTCTGATCAGTAGTTTTCCGTGGTTTCTCCGATTAACACCATGCGAATGCCAGAGCAGTACCCTATCAAACGGCCACGGACCGCGTGCGATCGCACCTTCCTCTTCCTTGTCCTATCCTCGTCAATTGCACACACACTTACACTAATATTCACTACACTACCACACGTGCCAGGAGAACGGTCGGGAGCTGAGAGCTTGTCCCGGCTGGGGCTGCATCCCGCTGGGGGATACCTGGTTGAGGAAAACACACTAGCCGACGGTAGGTCGGCGCCGGATCTCGCCATCCAGCAAGGGAAGTTCACCACCGTCACCTCCCGAAGGAAAACATGCACAACACTTACGGGACTAATGACTCTTGTTAGTTGATATGCCCGGAATCTCTAAAACAATCAATCCAATGCGTTCGTTGTTACACCACTGAATAATGTGGTTATAACTAACAACAAAAATAAATTTTAGTACATTTAAAGGATTAAATGAATAGTACACATTGAACACTTGGTGCCGTTAAAATAACCTAGTTAGCCTAGTTAAAATAACCTAGTTCTAACCAGCAAGCTAGTTAGAATCCATGTTTTATTAGTCCTTGATACCGAAAAAGCAATTGGCAACAAAAGTCTGTCTATCAGTATGTTGTCAAAGCTAGCGCCTAAGTTACTTAGATTTTCTCTGAAACTGATATTCCTCAATCAATTTAAAGGAACTCGAAGCCCTCTGAGTTTGAAACGGACGTATTGAATTTGAGGGTATTTTGCATGAAACCTCAACATTTTCAAACTTTTCTCAAAAGGACTCCAAAGTTTTTGTTTAAATATTGTCCTCAGATAGCTTAAAAAACTCTCAAGAGAATAGTGCAGATCTCATTTTTGTTGAAATCTTTGAATTTTCGAAAATTGCAAATGTTTGAATTTTTTGGTTTCTTCCTACAACTACAATACTGAAAATAAAGATTTTCTTCCCTAATGATATCTGTTCTATAAAGATAGATTTTTAAATAAGGTCATGTACAAGTTTTTGAAAATATGGTAAGTTTTTACGTGATTTTGTGTGAAATATAAGCAATTTTTAAAGAATTATTTTCGAAATACTAATGATGAAATGTTAACTAATAATGAAAGCCTTCATTGCACCCCTGATTATAAGGCCAAATATTGGACAGTGATCACTTGGTGATTATGACATTGCCACATGAATAATAGTGTTTCTTATAAATTCATCTCTATGCGTAATTTATTTTAAGCAGACTACATAACAATATTAAGACACCTTACTGAACACCATACATTATGAAACACAGATATTAACAAAGACACAGGGCACTGACAATAACAATGTTGAAACGATGAGAATTTTTGTCAAATATCTAAAGGACTTACAAATACTCAGTCACCACAAATCAAGAATAGAATAAATTTAAATAAACCTTGGATTAATCATGAGATCATAAAACAAAGCAGACTCAAAGGTTGAGCATGAGCAAATTATAGAAGAACTGAAACAGATGAAAGTTACACTATCTATTGGAACAACTCAAACAATCTCACCTCTAATGTGAGACAGCGTAAACAAAAACACAAAGAACAAATTGTTCAGGATGGTGGCAAAAGATTCTTCTCCTATATACGAAGACAAACTAACTGTAAAACTGGCCCTCCTATGATTGTTCTGAATGGAGATTCTGTGATAACCGATCCACGTGAAATCGTGGGATGCTTTTCAAATAATTTCGGAAAAGTATATACTGTAGAACCTAAAGACCTGTTGCAGATTATTGAAGAGAAACATACTGGAATTATTAATATAAATAAAAATATATAAAATATTGAATTTTCAAACATCAAAACTGCCCAGAAAATGTGCGGACTGAATGCAAGCTCATCCAGTGGTCCTGATGGTATTCCAACCATGAATCTGAAAAATTGTAAACTACAACTTGCCCCTTTCCTGAACAGAATATTTAAACAATCATTAGAATCAGGGAAGTTGCCCTCTGCATGGAAAAAGCTGTCATCACACCAGTTTTCAAGGAAGGAGACAAAAAACCACAGATCAAAAAGTTTGACAAGTACAGCATGTAAAGTCATGGAAAAGCTAATTGTTCAACAGTTTTTAACCATGCATTTGAAAATGATATTATCCCTAAACAATAACACGGTTTCATTCCAGTAAGGTCAACATATACAAATTTCCTCCAGTTGCTAGATGTGTGGACCAAAGAATTGGATCAGAAACAACCAGTTGAATTGGATCAGAAACAACCATCCTATACACTTGTGATCTAGGTGATGATCTGTCTTCCAATTGGAACTGCTATGCGGATGACATCAAACTTTTCTTAAATCCTCTAAAAACTATCAGATGTTACAAAATGACTTCAACAAAGTGGTGAGATGGTCGGCATCTTGGTTGCTGCCTTTAAATTCCAATAAATGTATGGTCCCCCATCTAGGAAAAAATAACCTAAATTTTAATTATAGTATTGAAAATCGCATCCTCAATCATACAATAGAACAAGATGATCTCTGCATTCTTATCTCTTGAAATTTGAAATGGGATAACCAAGTTGCTGCCGTTACCGAAAGAGTCAATAAGCTAATATATCTGATGAGAAAGGCATTCTCTACATTGCATCCATCAACAGTAAAACTGGTGTATATGATGTATTAGACCTCTTCTAGACTATGCTAATGTGGTTTGGTCCCCTTATTATCAAAAGATAAAAACATTTTGAAAAAGGATAAAGGCAGATTACCAAGATCCCTAGAGAACTACATTCATTGGATTACAAAAGAAGGTGCAGAGAATTATCACTTTTGACATAAGAACAGAGAAGAAATAGGAGCGATATTATAGAAACTTTTAAAATCTTGAATGGATATTATAAAATTCCTGAATTTCACAACTTTTTTACAAAAGCCACGGAATCTAGACTTAGAGGACATACGATGAAACTAGTGAAAGACAGGGCAAGGACACAACAACATTCTCATTTTATGTATCCCATATCCAATTTATTTCGTCGGATAAAGTAAAGGACGCTTGACATGGCACAGATGTGATTTTTGATTCACTTCCTGTATTTTGTCACATTCCAAAGGTTTAAAATAATGTCAGAAAGTATGTATTGTGTAGCATCACTATGTTCTTTTCTTCTTCTCCACGTTTCACTGCTAATATTAATGGGTATGAGAATTGCAGAGGTCACTTCCACACAAATATGTGTACCGTATAAATGTCAAGCTACTTGCGCAATAAAATATTGGCAGAAGACAATTCATAGTGCTGAGCAAAAATTATCCATTACATGAAATTGTTTCCAAATTATTATTATTATTTTTTTTATAAAGATAAATATATTCTTTGCACTCACCTCTCAAGTTAGCCTACATTTTACATACCTACATTACATTCATTGTCCATAAAATTAAATCATAAACCTTTAATAAAGCTAGTACCAACTTAAGTGAAAGAACCTTTAAATTAAAAAACAAACAAATAATTGTTTATAATTTCATTTTAGCAATAAAAACTGGCTTTTTGTGTTGGAACTTTATCAATCGAGGAAAATAAGGATATACTTGAAATTATATAGTACAAATAAGACGTTTGATAATTCACGATTGGCTCACCACTGAAAAAAGCAAACGGTAATTTAAATTTCTCCTCATGCTGCTTCTCTTTCCTCGTTATTTTCCTTCTCCTAAGGTATTTCATAATATGTAGGTTGATTGAACCCCTGCAAAAAGGAAGGAAATTTAAACTTCTTTCTCTCCTTGATATTTTCCTTCTTCTTTCCCCTTCTTCAATTTCGATATACAGTAAAACCCCTTGTAACTTTCACCCATTTTGCGATTTCTTGACTTTTACGTAATTTTTCGTTACACCCATCAAAGCCTATATTTAGAATGCATTCTCTTTCCGCAATTTACAATTCCAGTGCTTCCCATCTTTTAGAGCATTTTTTCTCTTCTTTTGTTTTTATTTTTAGAAGTATTTGGATACTTTTCAATTTTAATGTCTGGTTCCAATCTGAATGTGATTATTTTAAATTAAATTGTGATAAGACTCGAATTGAATACAAGTGATCTCAATTTAAACATGATGGGTCTCAATTCAATGTTGAAAAGGTGGAGTAAATTCAGCTTGCCTTGAACACATGTGTCATATATTAGTAGTTTTAATCATTGCAACAAGTATAATAAATAAAACATTATATTATTAACATAATACCAATGCTTTTAATTTCTGGGCCTCTCAATAATATCAGTCATAAAGCCTCACTGGTTAATTTTTCAGCCTAGCAATTCAAAATTTTAACCTTTTATAAACTATCAAGGAACACAAGGGAAAATAAATAACAACAGTATTCACATCAACAGAGACATATATTTTACATACATACTCACACACGCAGAAAGTACATTTATTCTAATTGTTTATGAAATGACATTTATGCATATACAAACAACATTCTTTTGTTCGAGAAACTCACAGTAAATGAAATTAGATCTCAATATCAGATTCAATGTACAATAAGAGAAATAGAATTCATAATAATTCATGCGTATCACAAAACAAAATTTCACTAAACTTTAAACAACTACTTTTTGCAAAAGCATCATCAAAGCAACTGCCAGGTATGCACCGAGGTATTTTTAAACACAGACATAAATCATCTTGATTTTGTATTCCTTTGTAGTATACACAATATTCAAGTATTTTCCAGTATGTTTTCCTTAATCTATAAATTCTTAAATATCAATTCATTTTCTTGGAAATAATCGCCGAGTCAAAATGAAAACTACTCCACAATAATCATCTACTGTTTTTAGAAACACATATCTATTGGTGTTTAAAACACAGATTTTTCAAAAGAATCATAAATGACATAAATTACTACAGAGAGATTATAAAGAGAAAGCTATTTCATGCCATCAATAAATGTGCTGAAATAGATATTTTGAAGCTTATATGTAAGGAATAAGAGGTCATACCTGTGGCAGTGTTTTGTTACTGCGACGTTTGCTATTCAATCTGTCTATTAAAGGAATGTCGCTATCAGAGTCACTCGAGTCTGGAGCAGAGTCCGGAGACAGTTCCTCATCCGAGTCTGGCTTGCTCGGTTTCTCTGGTCTTATCTTCTTCCTCTGAAATAGTTCTCAATCATTTCAGAAATTGTCACAATTTTTCCATAATACATTAACATTTACCCATTTAATATTCAAATCAACAAAAATTATAACAAAATATTTTGCTTAATATACTCAAGAATATGACAAATATTAAAGTAATGTGAAATCAAAGTATTAATAAATCATCAAAATGTCACCAATTTGCATATCATAGAGTAAAAAACTACTACCTTACCATATACTGATGAAAAGAGACACTCTTATCAACACTCACACATTTTAAGTTCAAATTCATGTGTGGTCTACAATAATGAAATACATTTTTTGTTAATTCTGTTCATGTTATTGTTAACTTTAATTCATACCTCTAACTCATGAAGACATGAAAAATGCTCTCCAATCATTTTAAAACTTTAAGAACAACTTCAAAACAACACAAAATCAAAATTTTGCTTCCCTTTTTTATTCAATAATTTTTGCTTAAAACTGTGACAATCACAATTTAATGTACTTTTCCCATAAAGCTTACCAAATTTTTCAAAGAATCAATCTTTTGTAGATTTAACAACTAGTGGTGCATACAAAACTTTTTCAGCACCCACACATATGACAAAGAAAACAGGCAGAATCTTAATAAATTACAGATTCTTTAAATATTTAAAAGTTTCTTACCAAAGCAAAAAATAAAAGGTTCAAAACGAAAGAATATCTTTAGTAAAAATAAACATTTCACTCCATACTTTTCAATACAGCTGACAAGTTATTAATCATTACATTATTTCAATTTTAAATTTCATTTCTCCATTATGCAACGGAAACTCATCGTCAGTAATTCAAATTACAATAAAATGACTTGCATGCTTTGAATATTTAAAACTCTCAGCATTTTAATCAGAGGTCCAATCTACAACACAAATTTTCTAAACGTTTGTGTTCTCATGTTGCTATACCTGTATTAGTGTACCTTAATTTCTAATACTAGGTAACTCATGGAGAGAGAGATTCAATTTTTTATTGTATATTACACATTTAAAAAATTCTCAAAGATGTGTAGAGATTATATAAAAATCAAACAATATGAATTAGTTAGTGATCGTGAATCAATGATACATATTTCTAACATCTATGAGCATATTAACAAACAATTCATACTCAACAGGTGACTCAAACTAATCAATAGTCACCATTTTCTCTTGGAAAGTACAAAACTGAGCTTAATAATATATACAAAAGCAAGCTCCTGAGCACTTTCAAATAATGTACAATTAGGCTGTACAGAAGATATCCAAATACTTTATGAGTTACATATTGGCTCTTCTCTTTTTTTTTCTTTTTTTTTTATATGCCCATATTCCTACCATGATGTTGGAAACCCAGTAAAAGAGATCCGGTATTTGCCTTTCCTACACATTATAAAATCATAACCATTGATTGATTTATTTTATTACACACATTGAGTGTGTCTAAATGCCACAATCACAAAACATCCATGGGATTTGCATTCTTACCTCAGAGCTGCCCTCATTACAACTTAGTGCACTATTTAGATTGGCATATTAGACTAACAAAAGCTTAAAGTATTAGACTAACAAAAGCACAAAGACCAGTAGTAGATGCTTAAAAATATATACAGCAATCACCAAAAATAAAAGAACAATGATTGAATAAAATATTCACTAAATCCCTTATCCAAACAAGCATGACACAGGAAAGATTTCATCAACTTTATATGCATTCATTAAAACAGGAAACAGTGATTAGAGGTCACATTCACCATATCATGTGGTGAATGACCATGAAGTAAAATGCCAAATGACACTATTGAAGTTTTTACTAGGTAAACATTATCTGTTCTAACTTGTTACAATGAAATGATCCCAATGTACCTCTTATGACTCCATCACAAACACAATATCATTAGCAAGATTAGGCTAAAGCTTTTGCACCATTTGTGTAACTCCATTATGAGGTTAACATGCTATGGAAGAATAAAAGAAAAAAGCATCACACCAAAAAAGTTTTTCTCTGCAGCACAAAACTGGGTAAAAATGAAAATAAAAAAAACAATCTGACTTTTTCAAAGAAACCATTTTCTCTCTTATACTATTTCCAGAGAATTATTGATTTTTAAGTGGCATCTTCTAATTTTGATAGATGCCTTACAAGAAGCTCTTACTACAATCTTTTAAAAAATTTCTTTAAACAAACAGCTATTTTATTTTTTTATTTTTCGTGCTCAATTCTAAAGCCAAAACCTGATTTTCAAGTTCCATATTTCTGAAAATCCACAGTATCAAGATCTGATAATACCTGTCTTGTATACTTGCCATAATATTCAGAAATATAAATTTTAATGAATGTTATTCATTTACACTTGAACATCAAATGATATTTTAATTTACCTTTTCCAAGAGTTTTATGTTTCAAAGAGACAATTCAGAAAAATTGTATTACAACTTTGGTTTTATCCATTCCTTCATAAGTGTTAAATTTAAGAATATGCAGTTTGCCCAACATGTTTCCTTAATATTACGTTTGTCAACATTTTATGCAATGCCCATCTGTTGAATGATCAATGTAATAAACTGGAGATATTAATCTGAGTTCAATCAAGAATATAACAATATTATAAACTGAACTTCAAACTTTAAATAATAAATACACAAATACTCAGTAAACTCCAAAACTTAAGGATATCTTAATATTTACTGAAAGACATTGAAATTATTTTTATGATTAGTGCTTCACTTCATATAGAATTGCATTTAAGGTTTAACATACATTTATACTTAGCAGCATTAAATCACATTAAGTATTAAATTTATTTACGTGTTAATTCAATCATATAACATTTTAAATAAACATTTACTAACTTACTAATTTATGAACAAAAATGTATAAAATTGTATAAAATGTTGATTAAATTAGTATTCAACAATGTTAAATAGGTCCATGAATATTATTGGAATTCTATTTATGAATAATGGAATTTTTCCAAATGATGGTTAAAATTTGATGTAAAATATTAACTCTTTGATAAAAATAATTGACATAAAAAGTTTTCTAAAATTAATATTCAAAAAGTCAAATGACAATTTTAAAAAATATAGGAGGGAGCCCTATTCTCAAATATGACAAGGAACCAAAATTCTGCAAGATGGCCCTGCTCATTTGTTCTTTGTGTGCATGTGTTCGTGGTATTATCACTTGTTCTTCTCCCCAAGCATCAAAAAGCATTTTTAGAGGTTTATTTTCATTAAATAAATAATTCAATTTAAACATGAATTACACAAATATAATTTTCTATTTATATTATAATCACTGAAAAAATGTTACAAAAATTTGAAATTTATTAAAAGTAGTTTTGGATTGATAATATTAAAATAAAAAAAGTAATTATATGTGAAGTTATATATTGATAAAATGTTCTGTTCATTGTTTAATATATTCCAAACCATACTTAACCCCTTCCTTTAGTAATATTTATGAAAATGTGACAATCATACAATCACACAATGTAAAAACTCGATGAAATTACTTTCCCTCATTCTTTGAAAATGATGTGCAACTGTAACAAAAAGTCAATACTTTCAGATGGTTTCAATACCATTATCTTTTTATACATCACTGGTCAATTTTAGAGATGTATGCTATACAATCTTAATTTCTCTCAGAAAATGACAAGAAAAATAACAACAAAAGTATCTAACAAATTCTGCACATTTTGATTAGTAGATTAATATCTATAAAGAATAAAGCAAAATGACAATCCAGTTATTTTTCAAGAAATTCTCCAAATCACAATAAAAAATAAGTAATGTTTTACTTAACACATTTCCACAATGACTGACAAACCAAAGAGACAGTTATTTGATGAATACTTTGTAATATTATTGTGGTTGCTAATGGCCTTTTAGGTTATGCAACCTTGATAAATTAATAAAAAAGTTACATTCAATTTTAGAACCAAACTATAGATAAAACTGCCTTCTTCAAATAAGATAAACAAACTAAAGACCAACTCAAAACCTCTTGTCAACTCATATCAAAGAGCAATCATTCTTCTCTGAGACTGCACTGAGAAAAGGCAAGCAAGCAGTGCAGAAATAGTAAGCAGCATTAACGAACACATGCACCAATTATAAGCTAGTTCATTTTGTATCCAGTAATTCATTAAATTGAATAATTAATTCAGGTAGACAATTATTGAGAATGGACAAAACAATTTTATATTATAAAAAATATATACCGTTTCCTACTTTCAATTTGGTTTCAGTAATACATGTGACATTATGACAACTAAATAAAATGCATGACAAGACCAAATCCAAAAACATTCCACCATGCCCAACTGCATACATGCGAATATAAATGAAAGGACATTCAATCTTTAATGGCTAAAAGTACAAAGCAAGCACTCATTACAATTATAGACATTCACATTTGCATGCAATGGATAGAGATAATGCAGATTCAATGGTTGTCTTTACACCTTGAAGAGTTGAAATGAAGAAAGAAGAGAATTTCTTCCAGGATTTAAATGCTCTTTCAATAATCTTACATATATAAATTTTAACTACACAAAAGATATTCTTATATGATAAGGATATGATGAAATTAATTAAAATGAATATAATCACAAACATTAAAGAAAAAACAAGCATTAGTATTAGTGTATCGAGACGTCTTGGTAAAAACTAACCAAAACTGAACGATTACAAACAGCACCAGGAGAACATAACAATATAGAAGAAATACCAAACAAATAATATAGAATCTCCTAATGCAAAATCACCTCAAATTGTGTCTTTTAAAAAAAACACTCAATGAATGTTCCTATCTTTCAGAGCTCATTATTTCTTTTTCCACTTCTGATTTTTCAATTTCACAAAAGAAAATCATTAGAATGTACTGAAAGATTTGATGAAGGAAAGTAATCCCAACAAAAAGTATCCCACTGTATTTCAAGCAAGATGAATTCACACCTTCCCAGAGTGGGGTTTGAACAAAATTTTCCTTACCCACTCAATGGATATGCCAGATGTGCTCCCTCAACTCAAAAAATTGAGAACATTTTTGGCAGCTCCACCATTACACTCTATTTCAGAAGGCTGTAGCAGCACAAAACAGTTATTTCGTCTGGCAGAGAATATGTGAGGTGAAATGCTTCAGGCATCCAATGTTTTAACTTCAAATGCCAAAAGCATGGTGGAGCTACCAGATGATCACACAACTGTCCATTCTACTACAGTTAAAAGAAAGTAACATGTCAGTAATTGCTGGTTTCTATTCTACAAATGAATTAAATTTGAAATTTAAAAAAATTAAAAATTGAAATTTGAAAATAAACATTAATTGAATGCAGTTTGACATTAACATGGTAGAAAAAAGTACCGTCTAAACTTCAATAAAAATATACTAACCTTCTTCGAAGTTGGAGGGCGATGTCGAAATATTGGTATGAATTTCTCTGCAGCACTTTGAACGCGACGAATATCGAAGTCTTGATCTACGCGAGTGACAGTCTGAAGCCTGCAAGAGGTAGCAAATAGAATTCAGTGCTAACAAATTCAGTAAACTATAATCTAATCAACTGCAAACATTTACCTTTGCTCTTCACTAGTAACATATAAGTCATCTGGTTTATGATACATATTATGATTATCATAAGCTTTCTTCCTGTAGAATAACGCATCACAAGTAGTGCATTTAATCAAATCGCTGTAAAACAAAGAAAATTAGTTGACATCAATATAAAAGAAACCTGAAAACTATTAAAAGAAGAGTTATTAATAATGTTTAAGAATCCTTACTCTGGAACCCTATTTCGTTCTTCTTCTGTATGCTGTCTTTCAAGATGCTTCTGAAGATTGAATTTCACAATATACTCAAAACCACACAAATGGCAATAATATACTGACTGTGCTTCACCTGCATTGTTTAGTTTAATCTTCTTACTGGGTGGAGGAGTGGCAACAGGCTTGAACAAAGCAACAATCCTGGAAAATTTTTCAACAGTACTACTAATCATGGAACATTTTGAAAATTATAAACATACAGTCTCTTCATGCATAATTGGAATCCTCTCTTCTTACATACATATGTGATAATAGTTTCAGAATAATGATGCTTCAATTGCAAACAAGTCATTATAAATCTCACTGATCCACACACATGCACAACATTTAAAAGTTAAAAATCTTGTGAAATCATAGGTGCCCAAATACCTCTTGTGAGTTGATTTTGAATGATATGACTGAGCCTCTTCATTATAAAATACAACTCCACAGTCTGAACAAGGAAATAATTTACTTGGAGTACTCTTTGGATGTTCTGACAAATGTTTGTCACGATTAATCTTGAGAGGAAATTGCATACCACAATATGGGCAAAAATGTTTTGCTGCACTTTCAGGATGTTTTCTAAATTTATGCTGAATTGCAATAGTGACACTGTCAAATTCTTGACCACACACATCACACACTATATCGCTTGCTTTATCAGAGGTAGTTTTATCATTCTTGGTACTATTATTACTTCCATTGCGTTCTATTGGAATTTCTGGTGGATTACTTTTAGTAGTTGAAGTTGCAGGTTTCCAAGGGCGGCCTTTACTATCTATTTCCTTGTTAGCATGTTTTCTAAATGAATAGAAAAATAAACAATTATTAAAATAAAGCTTCATAATTAAAACAACATTTTATGAAGTATGTACAATTTTGAAGCTTTGCAATAATGCTTCTTTTTTTTTTTGTTTTTTTAAATTTATTTTTTACTATTACTTATACCTGAAATGTTCTTGGAGTGCCTCTTTAGAATCCAACTTGGTATTGCACAAAACGCACACATGCTTTTCCGCACAGGTCTGCGACATAATAACTTCAATACTTAACAGTGTTATTCTGTTTACGTGCTACACATTAAAACGTACTTTTATGTCAGAAAGCATAATTAATGCGCATAACCGCAAGAAAATGAATTAGCACTCGACGTATAGAGAACAAAGGGTGCAATAAGCCAATTGAGATCTTCGCAAAATATCAGTACGATTCCACACTTCCGTATAATTACTGTTGGAGTAAAAAATCAATCACACACTAAACGCAAAGCTAAATATCAAGCGTTTATTTACTTCACAAATCAGACATGACGCCATTTTTATACTGTCGGCCCCAAGCCCACCGCAGAATTGAACTTCGCGCTATCTACTGGTAAGTACAAGCCAACAGGCCCACCCCTTCAGGGTTGACCAACCAGTACTTGGAAATCCAGACGCTAAAATAAATATATGTTCAAATTTCAAATAGGAATCCTCTATCCGTCATTACCAGTTTGCAATGGTCATTAATATGAGCCACAATTTATTGTTTTGGCTTTTGCCGGCAATTCATCAAAGTGTTCACGGTGCTTTATACAACATTGATTAAAAAGAGAAGACATACAAAGTGTACGAAACTATTAAAATTCATTGCCTCCTGCCTATTTCTAATCAATAAAGTGAAAGACCGTTAACGTAATACTGAATTAGGCCGTCTTCTAGTTATAATCAGAATTTATATTTTTTCAATTCACTTGACGAACCTGATCAATAAAACAGAATTTATTTGTCATCTCAGCTTACAAATCCATACGCTTGGTTCACGGTTGTACTCATGGTTCCGGGGCTGACAGTGTGGCAGATCTAACCATGAAAGGGTCTTTTAGTATGATCTAACGCCAACCGTGAAGTTCGTTAGGTTGTTGTAAATTGTTACCGTCTTATTTTTATATGCACACTATTTGTCCGAAGTACTGAAATGAAGGTGGTCATGCGGGCATGTCCAAGAACATCTGATACTCATTGATTTGGAACAGTTCGGAAGCACAGGTTGTGCACGCGCGGAGTCCTGGGGGATCCGCGCTTCTGTATTGCAGCTTTACCATTAACTGTGGTTTAAACGAAAATAATTAAATATTTTGTGTGTCTTTATAGTGATAAATAAGCATTTGCGTTATTGTGTATGATCTCGTAGTTATTGTTCATCGTTGCTTGAGGTTTCCGGCTGCAATGGGCGATGGAAATGAAAATTTTGCTCCAGGCCCGTTGCCTGGTGTGACTTATCCCTTGCAAGTTCTGTACTGTGGGAACTGTTCTATGCCAATAGAAGTAAGTGATTTGTAATTCATAAATATTTCCTCAGTAAGGTTAAATATTAATATTGTTCAATTAAAATCCAAGGAAACTTACTAAAGTTGGTACACTAAGTCAAAATAACGCCAAAGAAAACTAAAGATATGGATCATATTCGAACACTTTGAGGTTAAAATTGTAGCATTGCGCAATCTAACGTCAATGTTATGACGTTTACAAGATGTGCAGAAATGGTATATTACTTTCTGTCGTGAATTTTACTTTGAAATTGGTAACGTAGACCATTATTCCATGAATTGTTTTGGTTATGTACGGTATGTACACATGCAAGCTTCACAAGTCCACCTTTACCATTATTCCATGAGAAATATGGTTTCTAACATAGTCTGCTAATAGGTTCAACAGTTAATTTTATATTTGGGTAATACAGAACCAAATGACTTTCTTAAACTTATTTTTGTTTTAGTACTGTGAATATTATCCAGAATATGAAAAATGCAAACAGTGGCTGGAACGAAATCTTCCTGAGGAATTCGAAAAGCTCATGAAAATTGGTGAGAATATAACTTAAAAATGTTATTAGACAAACTTAAGTGTATGCATTGAGTATGTGCAAAATCAATAATCACTCTTAAAATTAAAGGAAACGAGTATAGCGTCGACTTGTTAAAGTGTTACGGCGTCAACTGTAGTGTTGCAAGAAACAAAAAACCCTGCTTCTAGTTATCATTTGGCACTCGCTTCAAGGCAATACATACAATGAATTAGCAATGTAACCATTTTAGAAAGGCATAAATCCCGACTGTAAATTATTGAATGATATTCAAAACTCTGTATTGATATGTTTGAATCCTGAGAATTGAATTGAGACTCCTAAAAAGCATTGATTTTTCACATTCGATACTTTAAAAGTTCTTTTCAAGTATTTTACATGATACGGATTGAATATATCACGTCAACTTTAAAGCTTTCAGTTAGAAAGGGCTATCCTTGTGAACTTTGTGGAGATCATTGTACTGGAAATATGAACATACTGTTTTAGGTGAGAAAGAAGAAGATGGGATTGGTGAAGAGGAAAAGAAACGTCAAAAAAGAGGTGGAAAGGGTATAATGAAAGCTAAAAAGAAAGAAGATGTACCCAAACAAGTATGTGTATCACGAGCTCCACGTGGAAAGAAAAAGTCTGTAACTGTTGTCACAGGTCTTAGTACTTTTGGTAAGTTTTTAATTATTTTATCACAAACCTTTGTTCTTTCAAGGATTCTTACACCAAACCAATGTCCAATTGATTCTTGTTTCCAGATATTGATTTAAAAGTAGCAGCTAAATTTTTTGGCACTAAATTCGCTTGTGGCTCCTCTGTTACTGGAGAAGATGAAATAGTTATACAGGGTGATGTGAAAGATGACTTGTTTGACATCATCCCAGAGAAGTGGCCTGAGGTGGGTCTTCAGTTTCAAAATTCATTGATTTTCTGTTTGTCTTGTAAAACAAATTTTTTTAATTACTTTTGCAGATTGATGAAGACTCTATAGAAGATTTAGGAGACCAAAAGAGGTAGCAATAGACAAAATACTACAATGTTCCTGAGTTATCATCATTGGTCCATTTATTATTTAATCTGATATACTGTACAGATTGCTTCATGCTTCTGTGCTTCCACAATAAATAAAATAAATAGTTAACAGGTGTCCTATTTTATTTCTTCTTCAGGTGGTTGATTTCCTGCTATTGTCAGAATCTCCTGGATTTGATCATCTGTCAAACGCTCTGCACTTTCCTCTACCATCTAAAAAATATAAATAAAACTTTAAAATTAAACTTTTGCACTCAACATCACACTTTCAAATATTACAAACTTAAAAATATTTACTTACCAAATGAACATCTACCTCCTTTTGTGGAGGATCATTAATGAGCATTAATTTTTCGGCTTTGGTCAAGTTGAAAGATTCATAGGCAGAAAGTAATTGTTTAATTTTTTCGGGTGTCTGTTCAGCACAAGGAGAATTCTGCAGATAACGCATTGCCTAGAAATGAAATTCTGAATCTTTACAGGGGAAAGATGGATGTTGCCATCTCATGTTAGAACATTGTACACTTTTCAAGTCTTGAAATAATATATTCTAACAGCGCTTGTATTTCTTAAAGATAAATGTCTTCCATGTTTTCCTTATTTCTTAGAGTTAATAGTTTGAGCTGGATTCAAATCCTACAAGAGGGTGCATTCACCTAGTGATTTTGACATTTTGCCCCAAGTGCTCCCTCTCTACTTGAATCATTCATTTATTCCTAATTAACAACAAAAACTAATTCTCTATTGTAGGCCATAAGAAAACCAAAAAATAAATTAAAAAGGTATAACAAAACTACATCAGAAAATGGTATATATGTTTGCAGAAATCAATAACATTAATTTCTAGCAAACAAGTAAAAATCTCTATTGAACAAACAAATTAATTATTTTTCATAACCCATTTGTACAAATAGTTCCTAATTTTTTTTAAAAATATTTTCAAAGTAGAAAGCCTTTTTAATACAGAATTAAAATTCACAGATTCATTAATGGAAAGTTTGACATTGAAGAGTAGTTCAAAGTCCACTCTTAATAACTAGTCACCACCAAAGTAATCTTATTAGTTTCAAATTCCTATTTTAATACACAAATTCTTTTTTCTGTTGATCTCTTTCACATTCAGAATTTGTATTGCACAATTCAATTTTTTAAAAAAGTCAAATTATATAGAATCATCAATTCTAAACACGAGTGATACCTCCTAGAGAAATGAATTCCAAAAAAATGTTGCATGAGAAATGAAATTGCCAGGGAAATGCAACATCTGTGAAGAAAATTTCATGAGGTAAGTGGGGTTGAGAAATTTTAAATAAGAAGTTATGACCATTAAAAATAATCGTACATTAAGAGAATTATCCATGCAAGTTTTCTTAAGCCCTCCCTTCACTAGTTGCGAGAGGGAAGTTTGGTTATTTTGATAAAAATAATTTTATATCAAATTTGTAGTCCATTTTTTAAGTACATAAGTTCCTATGAAACAGGAACAAATGTTTGTGGTTATCATATTACATCATCAATGCTTATTGCAATTATTTATTCATAATTCAACTAATGTTAGCAAAGGAGTGGTGGTAGGTATTAAGGGGCTTCAGAAAACGTGTGTGTATAAAGATGCAACCAGAAAAATCCACAAATGTTTAAATACATTAGTGCCAAACCTTTGCCAGTTAAAAATGTCTACATGTAGTTTGCGTTAACAACATACAACCATTTGTTTTTCTTATTCTAAAGAGTATGGTATTTAACACCAACTTGCCAAATAAAATTATGGTGTAGGAAATATGTGACTTGACCATCAAGGACCTCAACACATACAAAATTCTACAAGAATTCATAAGCAGTCAGAAACATCAGCTATACCAAGAGAGTCATCCCACTTACTTCAAACTGCACAGCTGCAACTTGCGATTTTGCTGACCGCTTCTGCTTACTACGAGTATCTTGCAATAAACTCAATACCTTCAAAATACATTATTAAAACCAGGCTATAAAATATATGTTATAGATAAGTAATGTCAGATTAGGTCTTTACCTTACCTCATAATTTGAAAGAATGGCAGCATTTGCATTTATCCTTTAACAAAAATTTGAAAATAACAACTACTGAATCTTAATATCACATACTAACAAATAATGGAATTCAGATACTAACGTTTCCATCTTTTCATTACAACCTTACTCCTAAATTTGCACACAAACAGGCAACACGTGAGTCACACTAATATTTACACATTCACTATAACAATTTCTTATGAAGAATGTACACCTAATAAAAGAACATCTACGCGCATACGCACACGCTCTATTTACTGTATGTTTAACATTCCTCGTACACTCGCCGAACTTGCAGAATTCATTACAAAGAATTAGTCGTCAAATTGTCACGATCAGTGTCCTTCCATTAAAACTCGTACCAACTCGCAGAACATGTCGCTGCGTTGTTTTCATTTGTCATTCGTAACAAATGACGATAGCAAGGCGAGAGCGGTCGCTAATAAATGATAAATTGCTTTGGTTGTGATCAGTCTATAGTGGCTGTTGTCATTAACACAAATTAAATGCTTATACTCACTTCTCTGTCATAAAACGTCAGATTACAGAGTGCATTCATTTGAGTGATTTGGACTTCTGGGATTTTCGTGTTATTCAGTCGATTAGCATTTTGCGAATATTGTTTGCTGTGGCACAGTGTTTTAAAAAGTTCGAACGTTATGATTTTGTAGGTTTCATGTAATTTAAACTTGGCTCGTGATTTTTTATTCATTCTTTAATATCAGAGCCAGATAACATTTTTTGGATACCTATGACGGACTGTTAGGTGAAGATTCAGCTAGATGGTAGGTAAAGTGTAAACATATTCATTATTTTACCAAAACGAGTTTTAATTCTAAAAACCCCTCGATAAATAATTGGTCCTTTCTTAACATCAGCATATATTTTCATGGAGGTTTCTACATCACACAAATTCTACGTGAAAAGAAACATCACAGCATTGACAGTTACATTTTAGTATTATATTTTTAACTTAATTATCCATTGTTGAAAGTGTGGCATGAAGAAAGAAGCAATTTTTCTATCACAGTGCCAAGTGCGAGGTAATATGATTACTATGTTTGTTGACTTAATTTATTACTGATATTTAAAGTTTAATAAAAATGGTAAGGTAATTCCCTTGTTAAGTATGTGTGTAATTCTTCTGCATTGCAGATGCAAAGTGTATTGTGCATTAAAATATTTGGCTTTGACAGTTGTTGGTTCCGCAGTGATAACAGAATAGGTATTGCTATGAATGGAACTATCTACCATGAGAGACAGGTTAGTTCACCATATTTTTCAAGGGATATGTTATTTACAATATGAATTCTTGAATTCTTGTTGACTGTCATGTTAACAAATCTTAAATCACTGTGATTTCAATTTTTCATTTCCTTGTCAATTATTTTAGTTACAGCACTTAATTAATATGAAATGCACTTGTTTGATATGTCCAGCATATATTAATATTCAGTTTATTTTGACCTTGATTAGAGTTAAAATTTGTTTTAGGTGAAGGAATTGTGTGCCCTTCATGCATTAAATAATCTGTTTCAAGAATGCAATGCATTCACAAAATCAGAACTAGATGGAATCTGTTACTCATTGTCGCCAAATGTTTGGATTAATCCTCACAAATCATTTCTTGGGCTTGGAAATTATGATATTAATGTCATAATGGCAGCTTTGCAACGTAAAGGCTGTGAAGCAATTTGGTTTGATAAAAGAAAGTAGGTATATTGAAGTAACTTCTAGATTCATTATTTGTATGAATTTATTGTGATGAAGAGAAAGCAAAATAAATGTAACTTTTTGCATACTTTAATTGATTTTCAATTTGTTGTATGTATTTTATTTTTCAGAGATCCTAAATGTCTAAATTTAATAAACATCCTGGGTTTCATATTGAATGTTCCAAGTGACTACAAACTAGGCTTTGTGCTGCTTCCTCTTCGTCGCCGTCACTGGATTACTATTCGCCAGATTAATGGAGACTATTACAACCTTGACTCAAAATTGGAATCTCCTCAGCTAATTGGAAAAGTAAGAGATAATAGAAAAATTATATTCTTGCATGTTTGGTGATTAAATTAGTAATGTGTGTTATGTTTACAGGCTCCTGATCTTATTGCCTATTTACAAGAACAATTGGAATGCAAAGAAAAAGAACTCTTTGTTGTTGTGTCAACAGAAGTAGAAGAAAATCAAGGCTGGCTTGTGAACTCTGCAACTGCCATTGATGGCCTAAGTGTCTGCACCAACTCTGGTGTTAAGGATGATGAACAAGATCCTATTTTTAACCCCTTAATAAAAATGTGTAGCATTCCAAATAATGTTGCGGGAGGCTCATCAAGAACTATTGTACCCAGTGCAAAAGAAAATCTTCAAATCAATATACATGACAAGACTAAAAGTAACAATTGTGAAATAATCTCACAGCATGCGTTCTGCAATTTGAAACCAGTTGCTTCCAATTCCATTGAAAACGAGGAAAGATAGTGGTAAATCTTTCAAATATGTTAGCTTTACTGTACCAAGTTGACTCAAATTACAGAGATATGTATGTATTTCTTCAGCCATCTGAAATTGTACATTACGCACTTCTAAATCCTTATTACTATTGGTGCTTGATGTAAATGTATTTCAGAGCCCATGTGCCTCCATTCTAGCTCATATTGGGATTTATTTAGCAGTTTTCTATTTTACATCAGTTTCAGAAAGAGTCTCATTTTCTTGGTGTTAATAATTTAATGTTTTTATTTTTACTGAAGAGTTTTGTTTATGGATAATGAAACTTCTAAGAAAGGTGAGATTGATGAAACATAGCGTTTGCTTTTTCTGGGAAAATTCTATTAAAATAAACAGTTGTTCATAAAAAAAAAAAACTTGCAGTTGCTATATACTCAGTAAATTTTTGTTTTCTTACCCTAATTAAGTACTACTTCAAGTTGACATTGAGAAATAAAACCACTTCAATTCAATTTTATGATTGTTTATGTATTAGCATAAATGTTAGTTAAGAAAGTACATGCATTTTGTTTGTTGCTGAAAACGTTCCTGATGTCTTAGTACTTATTGCACATAAACTGTAAACAGAAGAAAGCACATTAAATAATTTATGATTTCTGTGCTCTGGTGGCAAAATGTTTCATTTCCTTAACAAAAAAAAGTGAGTTTTTCACATTCCAGTTTATAGTTAAAGTTTAGAAGGTGATATAATCTGTTTCTCTTGTAATTTATGAGAAAACAACAGTGGCAAATTGGCATAAGATGAAAGCCACAAAGTTTTTTCATGACATTTTGAATCTTGAAATTGATGTCATGTACAATTAAGAAGAAACATGTTTTGCCAACTTAGCACAGATTTATAATGAATTATTAATGTTAACTGTTTGAAGCATTAAGGTATTTAATGCTTGTTTGTAACGAATTCAGACAATTATAATTCATTCAAAATATTCCCGGATGCAGTGAATTTGTGGAACTGAGAATAAGGGTCCTTGCACAATAGCATCATGTTGACATGTGTTAAGTAACGCACACCTTAGAACAACACTAGTTTATGCGAAACAGCCCACGAGCGCTTCAGCTGTTCCGCATAAAATGCAGTTAATCTATGAGGTTACTTATCGCCTGTCTATGCGCCGCTCGTATGACACAGGCCTTACATTGGCAGCAAGAAAGTAGAAATTAACTATATATATATATGAATGTGCCAACAATATAAGACTTCTCTTCAATGATATTTATTTATGAAATGGTGTGAAAATATTAACACTGTGTGTTAGGCAAACACACATCTTTGCTAGTTATCACCTAAATACTCTACAGTGTATCATTTTCAATGTTTCAAAATTTTTGTGAATAAAATATCTATACAATACTAATTATTCTAAGAATGTATAATGAACATAATTAAAGATACATAAATATTTTTTTTTACTCACATATGGTCAAATTTATATCACAGAAGTTGTATTTGAAATATCTGCATGTGAAGCATTTGAATTGTTCCTACTGAAATAAATTAGTTTGTAAGTGGTTTGAATGTGTATATGTATATGATGATGTTGCACGAACAGTGATGCATCTGTGCAATCATTGTGAAATGTAAGTTTGTCATAACTTTTCCTCCCACTTTTTTTTCTTGTTTATTCACCCAAGTCACTTAAGAAAAAAAAGAAACGAAACAAATTCATTTAACTTATTAGTATGCAAAAGAACATGTTACTGTCAAAAAAATGGAGTAATTCATGCATTGTTTTGTTTTTTAACTGAAATTCATTTTTTCTATTTCCTACACAAGTACAGATGTGGAAGTTATGTTCCAACCAGTACAATGTATTTTACCACATCTAGTTAAAACCTTGAAGTTTTAGGAGTATAGAATAAATAATAATGTTGATCTTTGACCTACTGTCATCTTTTAATTTATGTGTAGCAACCACTATCATGTACTATTCAGTTCAGTAATCATATGCTGAGTATCAAAAGTGTGCTCTTCCATCTCTTTTGTGAAGAAGAATTTGATGTTTTCATTTCCTTACAATTCTCACTCAGTAAAAGTGTTGATTTTGTTTTGATATGTTGTGCAAAAAGACTGACATTGACATCAACACACTTTCTGAAGGTGTTACACAATACTATAACATTTTTCATCATAAGCACAATAAGCTCACTGGTATTTGAAAATGAACAGTAATATCTTCATCACATCTCAGGTACATTTCCTTGCAATCCACCAACAATGTTCAGTGAAAGTTGAACACTACCAAAGATTTTTAAAACAGAGGACAGTTGTCATGCCTTGAAAGTGTAAGTCTGTCACTGTCAATATTTAGTTCTGCAAGTTTATTATACACTTGAGCTCTTGCCCAAACTGGCAATTCATGTTTTCTTCCCAGCACCCACAGTAAATCTGCAAAATAAAATTTCAAATTTATAATATAATAAAAATTCTTCAATATTAATTATTAAGACTTCATTTTGCTGTGATAGTTCAAAGGTAACAAATCACCTGCGTGCATGAGAGCCAAGTCAGAGCAAGACCACAACAAAGCGTATTCTTCATAATCTGTGTCAAGGATAGTATACAATCCAACTCCTGGCATTATTCGAGCTACAGCAGCTGGAAGTCTTGTGCTTACACGGTAATTGAGAATGGCTGATCCATTGCTGATTGGGTTCGCTGTTCCCAAACTTATGCTGGGACTTCCTGTCCTAAAAAAATAAAAGAAACTCATGAAGCTACATTTTATTAAAAAAAATTGTTGTGTAGAACATAATATAATACAGAATTTGTTAAAAACAAATTGATAAAATGAATCTCTAAAGATAAGTGAATATATATTATAGAAATTGAAGTGGGAGATTCTCGCCCATGTGTCCTCCATGACAGTATATACCCTGATCAGAAATGTTCTTGCCAATGCATGCCTGTTTGCTTGGTTGGTTGCTTCCTTCCTTCACATAAAAATTGTCACTAATCTTGATAGATGCAGTCAGTATCCCCAATAAATTTTGGCGTTAATTATTGTAAATTTTAATATATAACAATAAAATTAATAGAATTTGTTTTCATTTTATATTTTTTCCTTGTGAATGGTAGGGAGTTCATGAATTATTTACGAGGTTTCAAGCATGCATTATAGTGGGGGAGGGGGTATTCAGAATTTCCAACTTTCCAACACTTAATTTAAAGATAGCCTCTTAGTGAGTTCATTGTGTGATTATTATGTAAAATGATAGCAAATTAATGATATAGATATAATTGAAATTAATTTCCAAAGCATTTTACTTGTTATGAGTCTACTAAAACCTTTTTAAAGAATTTTCAATAAAATGAAAATTATTCAAATTAGTAAAATAAATTATTGTACCATTTTTTGTTAAAAGGGTTAAAATATTTTGAAGTCAGTATACCACAGACCAGATGAATAATAGCATACCATTTATTAACTGACTTCACAGCAACCTTAATATTTCCTGATTTCTTGACATTGAAGAATAGGGATGTGCAGCTACTAGCTATCTCGTACAGGTAAAATGAGCGTTCCACTTCATACCATTTGCCTCCAAACTGTAAACAAACCAATAACTATTTATTCTCTTAATTTCTCATTTGATTCTAATTCAAAGTTCCCTTTTATTTAAAAATTAAAATATATAATATATCTTATTAATCAACATCATGACATGAAACTAAATCTTAAAATTAATTTTAAAGGTTAATTGCTAAATAAAAATATCTTGAAGATTGTTCATTTTCATGTTGATAAATTGTTTACTACACACCTCTAAAATGTAGCCAAGGATTTTTTTAAAACATCAGTCCTATTGTCAAACAATTTTTTTTCTTTTCTTTTCTGCGAAGTGTTTTGCAATAGTTGAAATGAAATATAATTTTCAAATCCACATCAAAATTGAAAGGTTAATCCCACTTTTTCAAATTTGAAGACTTTCATTGGTAATATAATAATAGGTAACTTTGTCATAAGTCTCTCCTGTTGAAATTGTGTATGGTTTATATTGCAATCTTAATCTGAGATTTACCAATTTATTTTATAATTAGTTATTAAGTTGATGTTATAAAATCTAAAACAGGTAATAGCATCATGTTTTAGAATTGTTCTTCCATTGTAAACGTCAATGCAAGCAAACACCAATGCAATGCACCAACAAAAAATGTTATTGAATTTCCACAAATGAAAATTAAAAGTCATCTACAGACTTATCACATAAGAATACAAAGTAACTTGTGTATCATGTGCTGCAATGTAATATAATTTTATGAAGGAGGATTTTTAAAAACAAATCATCAGTACATATAGTTATACAAATTTATATTACCTATTGGAAATAAATGTAACATATCCAAAAATAGTAAATGGTCTTTCATCTATTTAGTTTTCAAAGGATAAACAAAATTGGTAAAAAATTAAACTAGCATATTTATTGCCCTCCCTATTCACATCTGCTAATTTTGCTATTGTGCTAATTGTGCTATTTTTTTATGTCAAATGTTATTGTTAAAGGGTCACTCAATTGAGATTTTTTGTTTCCCTTCAAATTGAATTGAAGCTCTTTTATCGTAGCTAGAACCCTCCTAAAATTTTTGGAAGGGATCTATAACCTTAGGAAATAACATATTACATGTATGAAAATATATTAAATAAAGGCAAATGGTTGACATAGGTCGAGTGGGAAACAAAATATCCGCTTCAAACTCGAATGCCTTCAAAAATGAAATTATCTGCATCACACTCGAATATCCTCAAAAATGAAAATATCCGCTTCAAACTCGCGATTGTTTAAATCGATTGGAGAATACCAATTTTGGAGAAAATCGGCACTACGGTTTAGCCGCTAGCGTTAAACACGAACCGACGTACAGCTGGAGAGGTTTTGCCGTCAATCGATTATTCGGAATCAAGGACGTGCAAAACATGGATTCTGGCTACGACACGAGTTAGAGGAAGTATAAAGGAACATGTTTTGTTCATTTTTTCGTTAGGAGGGCCCGACAATAAGGGCTTTTCTGTCGAAATTCGTCGTTTTCGAGCATTCGATTTCAACATTTTCTCTTCTTACAAATTAAGGGCGAAAAAGTAAAAATTGAAGCCATTTTTGAGAAGATTTTGAAAATGTTACAAGGACTTAGTGTAAGTACTTCCAAAGTTTAAAGAATACTGGATTTCAAAGAAGCAGAGCTTCGAGTCCAGCCAGATAGACCGGGGAATATTAATTCCTACATATAGTTTAGTCGCTAGTGTTTTCGCAGACAGACGGACGACGAATAGACGTACGTTATGAAACTAGTGGAGCTACAACAGGACATACGTTCTCGCTTTACTGGAAACATCTACGAAACATTTCAGATATTACGTGAAAACGTCCAATTCAACCAAGAAGCTAGCAACGCACTGTTCCAGCGCAGCGTTGTCAAAACTATGTGCATTCATTTGGCGAATAATATCAATTCTTAGCAAAAACGCTTACTTCCATCTGTATTCAGATTTCAAATTGTTTATGGGTTAGTTATATTACATCACACATAGTTGATAAATAACTCTAATACCAATAATCTATTTAAATTTTTTTTATATTAATTATTACCGCCCTTTTACTTTCCCGTATATGCACTGCATAGGGAGTAATGTATGTAATATAGGGAAAGTTATGTAATGCTGCGGAAAATCGATTTGGAGATTTCAATGGAAATATACGTTTTTGGGTCTCCAGATACTGAAAAAGTTTTTTTCAAAACGTCCGCCCGCTAATCCGTCCGTCCGTTCGCCTAAACGATGCTTAGGATTTTCTCCAAATTGAAGAAACCCCCTGTCCATCTGGTTCGAGTCAAAACTTTGAGATTTTGAAAAATATTCTTCAAAATTTGGAAGTACTTTCCATGACGCCCCCAGAACATTTTCAAAATTTTCTCAAAAACGGCTCCAAATTTTGTCATAAATAATGTTATAAATTTTCTCGAAAACTCCACCGTTTTCTGTGAAAACGAGCTCAAAACTCCGCATTTTCAGAAACGCTCTGATGCCATTTTCCCAAAAAGGTTCCAATTTTTTTCAAACATTTCGAAGGGATAGTGCTAATGGCACTCTTTAAAATGACGTAAAGTTCATTTCGGTGAATTTTTTTCTTTTTTTACGCAAATGTAACTTGTTTGAAAGATCTCTCACGCCCTTGTCATGCACATTTTCAGCAATTTGTAAACACTATTGTATTTGTGAGTTAAAGTACTTAAAATAAAGTACTTGAGGACGGACGTACAGGCAGAAGGACGGACGAACGGACGGACGGACGGACAGACATTTTGCCGTCAATAGATTTTTCGGTATCAAGGACGCACAAACCTTCTCGCTACACCGCGTGTTGGAATAAATTTGTTTCTATATTTAGCGACTGGATTTATCCACTTTTTGGTAACCAGGGCCCGGCTATAAGTTTTTCTGGCGAAAATTCGTTTTCAGGCGCACGATTACAATACCTTCTCTTCTTACGTCAGTAAGTGCTAGAAAGTAAAATGCTAATATTTGTGTTGATTTTCCGCAGCATTTCATAACTTATGTTCGTATAGAAGAAAATGAATATATATATATATATATATA